TACACCATTCATGCTCAGTGAGCTGGTGTGTTCAGATGAACGGGGTCTGGTCACTGTTTCACAGAACGCTGTGCACTGGGGTGTATGGGAAGCTGCAGAAGTCTGGCAGGTTCTGGTGGACCATCTTGGCCAGTGCCTTTTAACAGTTCTATGTTCTTGTCAGGCCTTTTTATGGCAGACTATGGAGGTTCCAAGTGGATCCTGGCAAGAAGGCTGCAGGTGGGTTCATCTGTGGGGAGAGAAGGAAGCAGCTGAGGGCACAGTAACTGCAGCAGGCCTTCCCAGGCTGTCTTCCGTGGATGCCCTCCTTCCCTACGATACAGCCTCCCTCACCTAGTCACCTACTAGCTTTAGTAACTGTTGCTAACTGCTACCTTTAGTGTTGTTGCTCTTTTGGTTGTTGATTGGCTGGAGTCCTTGCTATAAAGCCTTGTCTCTGAGACAAGTTGGCTATGCAAGCACAGTTCAGAAAGAATGACTCTCCGGTCAAGATGAAGTTTACTAGGCTTGGCGAATACGTGGACTCCAAGATGGTGCCAGTCCTACCAGTGAAGAAGAAAAAGAAACCTTTAGATGTCAAAGTGAAGCAGCTGCCGTGCTAGCCATGGATATGGGATTTCACTCCTAAAGGCATTGTGGAGCATTCCAAAGAGGTCACTACAACACATGCAGGAGTCAGAAGAAAGGAAGTGCTGCTTGGGTGGCTTGGTGCTGGCAGCCTACATCCTTTTCAACTACGAAGAACCAAACCTGAACAGCAACCATATAACCACTGAAGAGGGGACAGTGCCCAGGGTGCACTCTGAACCACGATCGCCTCGCCCCAGTGCCTGTGTGGGGAACTCCGTTTTTGCTGACTTTGCTGACTCATTTCCTACCCTCACAATTGACACCCAATAAAAAGTGACTGTTTTTACGGAAAAGATGAGGCTTTACTGAGGTAGCTGTCTTTCTGGGTGACTGTCGAGCTGTGAAATTGTCCAGTTACCACTCCTTTCCGCACTCCGGGGAACTCCTCATCTCTGCAGTAAAACTCAGCGTGGTGACTTCTGAGCAGATGCAAACCACTGCTGTGTGGTTTGTAGCCCTGCTCTCACTCCCCTGCCTTCTCTGTGTAGTGTGAACACACATTCTGAGCTGTGTTCTGCACATTCCTTTTTTTTTTTTTTTTTTTTTTTGAGAAGGGTTTCTTTCTCTGTAGCTTTGGAGCCTGTCCTGTAACTAGCTCTGTAGACCAGGCTGGCCTCGAACTCACAGAGATCCGCCTGCCTCTGCCTCCCGAGTGCTGGGATTAAAGACGTGCACCACCATCGCCTGGCAATTCTGCACATTCCAATTGAAGGCTGGTCCCTGCTTATATTTTCAGGAGAGCCTTTAGAGTCAGCAAGCCTAGAGTTCAGTCTACAGGATAAGAACCACAGGGGATCCAGTACCAAAGCCCAGACCTCATTTCATAGTGTTCCCGAGCATATCCACAGTGGTCAAGAGGAAATAATGAGTGTATATTTCCAAGCTCTCTTCTGAGATATATGTACTAAAAATTAAAGATAAATTCAGTTTTAATACTTTATTTATGTCGGGGGCAAGAGGAGTTTCTACCAAGACAGCACACAAATGAAGGCTAAATGGCCCCTTGCTCCCTGCCTTGCTAGCATAGGGCTGCCTGGGCCTCTCTTCAGTTTGAGGTTGGCATTCTTTTCATGACTTTCTATTCTTGCCCTCTGTCCGTCTTCTTTCTGTTTGGTCTTCATTTAGACCTCCGCCTCTGTCTCCCACCTGCTGGACTACCTTCCCTGCCAGGTAACCAGTCTTAATTTGATTTGTGTGACGGTGCCTTTCTTTCTTTTTCTTTTTCTTTTTTTTTTTTTTTTTTTTTGGTTTTTCGAGACAGGGTTTCTCTGTGGCTTTGGAGCCTGTCCTGGAACTAGCTCTGTAGACCAGGCTAGTCTCGAACTCGCAGAGATCCGCCTGCCTCTGCCTCCCGAGTGCTGGGATTAAAGGCGTGCGCCACCATCGCCCGGCGATGGTGCCTTTCTTTAGACATCAGCCACTGGTGTATTTTTTCGAAAAAGATTTTCCTCCCCTTGCTTGTCCTAAGAACATGACAAGTTTTTTTTGGTTTTGATTTTTCAAGACAGGGTCTCTCTACAGTGTTGGCTGTCCTTTGTAGACCAGGCTGACCTTGAACTCACAGAGATTCACCTGCCTCTGTCTCCCAAGTGCTGGGAGTAACGGCCTGCGCCACCACCACCTGGCAAGAACTTGAGAAGTTTTATGACGGGAGAGTGGTTGGTTTAATTCTTTGTTCTCCCCCACTTTTTCAGATATATTTAATTTTGTATGAATGAGTGTTTTCCCTACATATATGTATACACATGTGCAAATGGTGCCCGCAGGTCAGAAGAAGGCATCAGATTCGCTGGAACTGGAGTTGAGGTTAGTTGTGAGCCATCATGTGGGTGCTGAGAAATAAGCCATCTCTCCAGCTCTTTCTTGTTCATTATCTGTCCTGGTCATAGACTTGATTCTCCACCAGTGTTCTTCTATATATATTATTAGCCTTCTAGTTAACGAGTCACAGAAGGAAGCCAGGTGTGGTGGCACAAGTCTTTAATCCCAGCACTTGGGAAGCAGGGCCAGGTGGATCTCTTGAGTTTGAGGCCAGCCTGGTCTACAGAGCTAGTTCCAGGACAACCAGGGCTGTTAAACAGAGAAACCCTGTCTAAAAAGACAAAAAATAAAGAATAAAATAAATACAGAAGGCATTACAACATCATTTCCTTTTAGTTTTAAGAATCATTTCTCAGTTAAGTGTGGTGGCTCATACCTGTAATTGCAGCACTCAGGAGACTGAGGCCGGAGGATAGCTGAGTGTAAGGCCAGCCTACACCATATAGTGATTTCCAGACCAGCCAAGTCTACAGTATGAAACCTGTCTCCAAAAGAAAAAAATAAATTTTTCCACCAACTATTGTGTTTTTATTTATTTATTTATTTATTTATTTATTTATTTATTTATTTATTTATTTATTTATTATGTATACAATATTCTGTCTGTATGCCCGAAGGCCAGAAGAGGGCGCCAGACCTCTCTACAGATGGTTGTGAGCCACCATGTGGTTGCTGGGAACTGAACTCAGGACCTATGGAAGAGCAGGCAATGCTCTTAATCACTGAGCCATCTCTCCAGCCCTATTGTGTTTATTTTGTGTAGATTTTTTTCTCTCTCTCTCATGACCATCCATGTTCTCCCAACTAAAGGTATTTCCACAGCCAACTCACAAGACCTTTGGCCTGAAAGGTTGAATTACAGCAAACAACAATTCCCAAAGGTTTCCCAGCTTGGAGGGCAAATGAAAGGCCCATTCTTCTGAAAGCTGTCTGCCCTGCCCTATCTTGTCATGGGGTGCGGGGAGAGCAAGCTGTGGTGCCTAGTGGCCAGCCAGTCCTGATGCCCTGGGTTCTGTTTGGTTCATGTCTATCCTTTTTACTGCTGAAGAGTTGTTGATAATATATTATACCTGATCACGCGTATATATAACACACTTAGGTCAGCGCCAGGGATTGTGCCCAGAGGCCTGCATATGTTAGACAAGTATTTTACTGCAGAGCTACATCCCCAGCTCCCGCCCCCGTCCTGTGTTTAACTTTAGTTTGCCCAGGATTGCTCGATCACCTGTGCACTGGGTTGGGGCTGCTTTGTCTCCCTCACATGGTTCCCGTGCTTTTGAGACCGCTGCTGTGCTGCAGATGGAGATTGCCTGCTGCTTCTCTCTGCGTGATTCCACGGCCTTTAGCTCAGATCCGTGATTTTGGAGGCCTTTGGCAAATGATATGTTGCAAAGTGTGTGCTGTTTCCACTCGTGTGCTGCTCCCTGGGAGCGCTAGACTTCTCACAGTCGTCTTGAAAAGGAACGGACAAGTACTGTAGACCTCTGTGTGCCGGACACTGTTCCAAGGGTTCAGCATCCCCGTGAGATTAGTAATTAGCATTTTACATATAAGGGAGCTAATGCCCACAGACTTTGAAGGACAGAAACCAAACAGGTCTTTGTGACTAAGAACCCTTTAATAAGATAGCCTATAGGGTAAAGTGGCTTTCCCATGCAAAGTCCTAGATTTCCACAAAAATTTGACCACAGCACCTTAAGGGTGCTGTGAAGAAAGCGGGTCATTCTAGAGCAGAGCAAAGAGCAAAGCAGTCTGCAGAGGGCAGGGCTGTAAGGGGTGGAACCCAGTTTCTAAAGAGTCGCGAAGAACGTGATCGATTCTGTCATAATGTGTCCCATTAGTGAGCCGCTACTGTGCTTAGGCTGCTCAGTATTTAGTGACAGGCCTGTCAGCAACTGAAACGAGCAGACTTCTAAAGAGAGACCCAGCAGCTACTCGAAAGCAGGGCAGGTCCATACGAGCTTGAGTGAATGGTGCAGCCCACGACATCACAGGAGGCAGAGAACAGAGTGAACTGTGTGTCTGCTCAAACCCCCTGGATTGTCAAAAGAGTCTGACTTCAATCTGCAGGAATAATCTAGGCAGGGAGGGGCCGGGCAGTGGAGGCGCACACCTTTAATCCCAGCACTTGGGAGGCAGAGGCAGGGGATCTCAGTGAGTTTGAGGCCAGCCTGGTCTACAAAGCAAGTTCCAGGACAGCCAGGACAGTTACACAGAGAAACCCTGTCTCAAAAAGAAAAAGAGCCCTAGGGCAGGGAAATGTGCCTGAACAAGTGTGTGTAGCATTTAGGGTGTTGCCGGAACAAACATGCTTGTGATGGAGGGACAGTGCCAGGAATTTGGGGCCAGCTAACCTGGCATGGTGGTTGTGTGGTCTCAGCATCTGGGAAGCGGAAGCGGAGGCAGTAGCATTGAGAGTTTGAGACTACCCTGGGTTACTGAAAGTGCTGAGGAGAAGCAGAAGTACCCGGACATGAGCTTGAGTGCTTTACCGGAGACCACTAAGGCTGGGTTGACTGCACGCCAACTAGAATACTTTCTCACTGCAGGCCCAGATGACGTGCATGCATGGACCATCAGGAAAGCCGTGAAGGCTCCTCGGGCTGCAGGAAAGATTCACACAGATTTTGGAAAGGGATTCATTATGGCGGAAGTAATGAAAGACGAAGATCTTAAAGAGGAAAGTTCTGACAATGCAGCTATGGCTGCTGGGAAGTACAGACAACAAGGCAGAACTTACGTTGTTGAAGATGGAGATATTATCTTCTTCAAATTTAATTCGCCTCAGCACCTGAAAAAGAAATAAACTTTAGCTCTTTAGCATATGTATGGTTTTGGTTTTGACTTCGGGGTAGTTTTGTTTTTAGCTCAAGTGTCTGACACCTGAAGGCACATAGTTGCCGTGGGACTCTTGTAATCTTGTAAAAATTGTTACATTAAAATAGAAGTTGAGTTCTGGTTTCCTTTTGGAAGGAGAGTTTGGTTGGAGTGGACACAACAGTCAGGAGTGCTCACTGTCCTAACGAAGAACCCATGAGCATCAGTGGGTCTGGTCCAAGGGACCTAGCACCCTCTTCTGGCTTCTGGGGGTACCTCACACTTGCCATTTGCTTACACGGATGCATATAGACACACAAGTTAATAAAAACATTTTTTTAAAAGGGGGAAAGGAAGAAGAGCTGGCAGAAGTTTGTGTATAGGATGTGAAGTCAAGGGTGGTGAGGGAGGCTTCAGAAACTTGAACCTGAGCAACGGGAAGGATGTAATTGCCCTGTACTGAGGTAAGGAGGAGAGGGAAGGCGGGGCTCCGTGTCTCTGCTTATCAAGACAGGGCAGGCTTAGGTCTCATTTCAGAGGAAACATTTCCTAGGGCTAACCATTCCTTCAGGGGGTTAGAGTGTTAATTAGATCCTAGTGGTGAGACCTGGCTCCCTGAATTCCCCTTTCACCTCTGTTCTCATTTGGACATTGCTGCCATGGTTTACCATGGAGCCTGAAGAGGCAGCAGTGAGCCCTGGAAGGATTGCTAGTTGTCGAGGGTGTTCTGGTGCATGAAAAGGCTTTGGGGTGTGGGGGTTGGTTTTGACTTTGAGACATGATTTCACCTTGTAGCCTGGGCTGACTTCAAATCCTCCTGCCTTTGCTTATCTTTTTTTGTTTTGTTTTTTTTGTTTGTTTGTTTGTTTGGGTTTTTGTTTTGTTTTTTTGGTTGGGTTTTGGTTGTTGTTTTGAGAAGGATTTCTTTCTCTGTAGCTTTGGAACCTGTCCAAGAACTAGCTCTTGTAGACCAGGCTGGCCTCAAACTCACAGAGATCCGCCTGCCTCTGCCTCCTGAGTGCTGGGATTAAAGGTGTGCACCACCACCGCCCGGCTCTAGTGCTTATCTTGGAAGTCTAACTCCACGATCTGTAACTGCTGGGTGTTGTTGGTATCACATTACTTGTTCGGTGTGTGCGTGTCACGTGCACAGGCGCGCATCCCAGAGCACACAGGTGGAGATCAGAAAACAACTTATTGAAGTCCATTCTCTCCCTCACGTGAGTCCTGGGGATTGAACTTGGGTTGTTAGGTTTGGTGGTAAGCACCTTCACCTGCTGAGCCATCTTGCTTGTCCTTGCATTTTGTTTTTTGGTAGACTTTTTTTGTGGGGGAGTCTCATTTTGTGGCTCTAATGGACCTAAAACTGGCTGTGTAGACCAGACTGGCCTCATACAGAAATTCACCTGCTTCTGCCTCCCAGGTACTGGGATTGTATAAATGATTTACAGCTGGGCATCATAGCTGTAATCAGAACACCTGGAAGGCTGAGACAGGAAGAGTGCCATGAATTTGATACCAGCTCAGGTCAAATTATAATAAACTTTGGTAGCCGGGCGATGGTGGCGCACGCCTTTAATCCCAGCACTCGGGAGGCGGAGGCAGGTGGATCTCTGTGAGTTCGAGACCAGCCTGGTCTACAGAGCTAGTTCCAGGACAGGCTCCAAAGCCACAGAGAAACCCTGTCTCGAAAAACAAAACAAAATTATAATTAACTTTGAATTTAAAGAAACAGTTTAGATTTGCTAAACTCTGGTATGTGTGTGACTTTGACGTTTTGGAAGCGAGTCTTGAGGATATTGTGAGTCTGTGCCTTCCTGATAGGTCCAAAGGTCCAAGGTTCTGCTGATAGAGTGCTCATTTATGAAAGATTTTATCCTGCATCCCTCTCTGGGGTCCTAGCACAAATCCAGGAGCATGCAGCCACACACAGCAAGGAGTCTGGTTACTAAGACAGCACTGGGTCTCCCTGAAAAGGAAAAAGAACTTCAGGCCCTTAAAGTAGAACATGAAGGGCTTCCTGTTGCTTAATCAATTGAAATGACCCAGAACGCAAGTATGGATTAGCATGTGCCCCTAGATTAGGGCTAATAGGGGCAGGCTGAGCAGATGCAGGGACACTCCCAGCCTGATTACTGTACCTCAGCATTTAATCATCTCTTCCAAGGGCAGCCGCCTGACTTAGTGTGTACTGGGTTTCAACGCTTTCGGCCCCTCCCCCATGCCGTGGACATAAAGGCTGCTAGGTCAGAGACTGGGGAGATTTAATCTAATCCCATGTCCAAATGCCTGCGTGGGTGTTTGTGTGGGAGAGAGATCTTAAAATCAGCACATGAAAATGGCGATACATTTATGTTATTTAAGGTGGATGTAGACCAAATGTACGTGTAAAAAAAAAAAAGGCAGGAGTTGTTTTCAAGGCCTTTGAGGTTATGCAATGACCCTGTATATGGAATTTCTGTCTTTGAGACTCCTTTAAGCTATGTGGTGCCTGTCACAGTTACTCACCTTGAGACGGCTTCTGTGGAAGTCATTTCAGAACTCAGCTGTTGGGGCTGAACTGACTTCTTCCCTGAGTTATGTGAAATACACAAAATGCAGTCTGTAAAAATGATTTTATTTGGATAGGTCTTGGGGATGGTATTTTTACTTTGTTTTTGTTTTTAGGAGAAAATGTCTCACTATTTATTCCAGGCTGGTCTTGAACTTGAGGCAGCCCTACTGATTGCTGAGATCACCCTGAAGCAACCAGTCTTAGCTGTGATTGACATTTGAGTTTTCATTTGTGAGTGTGGGAAAATGCGTGGAGCACCTGCTCACTGTTAGGGACTCGGTGATAGACTTGGTCACTTCTTAAGGAATTTGCAATCAATTGAAACCAAAATATGCAAACAATGATGATATGTAAGATTGTTCCTCTGTAGAAGACTGGGCACAGTGCCATGGAGTTACCAGGGAAAAGGACCCAAACCACTGGAGGGCAGAGACTGGAAGAACCAGCGAACAGGTCAAGGACAGGTGCCACAGAAGTCATGGTGCACTAGCATGGAGCTGCTTGTGTGAAGATCAAGTGCATCAAAGCCTTTACACGCCGAAGCCTAGCGGGCGCAGCCTCTCTTCCTAGCACTTGGCAGAAGGATCGAAGGGTCAAGGCCAGCTTGTGCTCCATACTGAGATCCTGCCTCAAAGCAAGAAGATTGCCTAGAGCAATCTTGAGTGCCCTGAGCACCCCGCCAAAGCAGCAGACTGCTGTGGGCTTTGGGCTCATGTTAACATCACTGACTGGGAGACTAGACGGCTAAGCAACGTTGTATATATAAAAGTAACTTCTGTGGCAAGGCAGGGTGAAGGGACAGAATTGATTCAGCACTTAAAAGCCATTTGGAGCCTGGCGGTGTGGTGGTACACACCTTTAATCTTAGCACTCAGCACTCAGAGGCAGGCAGATCTCTGTGTTCTCTTGTGGTCTACAAGAGCTAGTGCCAGGATAGGCTCCAAAGCTACAGAGAAACCCTGTCTCAAAAATACCAAAACAAAACCCATTTGGTCTGGTTCAGAAGAAACCCAAAGTCACAGCTCTCGTTCCTTCCTCTGCTGGCTTTTCCCTGGACTCTCACTGACTCCGCCTTTGTCTTGTTAACACACCTGTATAAGTGGGGTTTCAAAAATGACTGTCATCAAAACCAACCTGTCAAGCCCTGCTTCGTGTTGTGCCATCAAGTGCTTATCCCTAAATTGGCAAGGCTAATTGCTAGAAAATGCTCACACACAGTTAATACTACGAAATCAGATTTTCTTTTGCATTGATTTCTTTTGGTTTGGATCCCCCTCTCCCTCCACCACCTGGGCAGGCACACACACGTGGATGCATGCCACCAAATGTAGGTGATGGTCAGAAGACAACTTGTAGGAGTGAGTGCTCGCCACCACATGGGTTCCAGGAATTGAACTCAGGTTATCAGGCTTGGTGACAAGGACTCACTCACTGGGCCTACTAACTGGCCCAAAGCCTCCGCCTCCCCCACTCCACCCTTCTCTCTCTCTCTCTTTTGAGTTAAGGTCTCATTATTTGCCTTGGCTGACTCCGAACTCACTGTGTATATCAGATTTGCCTCCAGCTCCCAGAGGTCCACCCGCCTCTACTTCCCAGGTGCCACGACTCTAGCCAGGATTGCAGCCTCTGGCAGCATCAAAGAGCTTGATAAAACCAGCCCAAGTATGGTACCGCATAAAGTCACATACAGCTGGAGAGCATGAGAGGGGACCCAAATTCATGGCCGCTTTTATGGGGGTCTTAAAGTCGAGCTGCTAGATAGATAACCAGTCTTGGTACTTGAATATGGACTGGGCACAGAAGCAGTGCCATGGCCTACTATAACTGCCAGTACCTGGCTTTGCTCCTTCCAGTGGCTCCTGGCGCTGAGGCCCAGCTCTGTTCCTTGCCTCACTCCCATTTCTCTCTTCAGGGTCTCCAAAGTCCGTGTGGCTGCCATCTGAAGTTTCTGTGCACATTCTTCCAAGCTTCCTGAGAAAGTGTGCGTGGGCAGCCCGAGTGTTGAGCCCTATCTAAAGCTGTGTGGTCTGTAGTTGATACAGATCACTGTAGCTGGGTATGGGATTCTAGGCTGCAGGCTATTCTGGAATGCTTGAGCCAGAGTACTTGAAGGCATGACTCCATCATCTTAGCTTCTAGGTTTACCACGGAGTCCAGTGTTATTCTCATGCCCAGTTTTTTCATATGCTTCCATTCCATACTTCATTCTTTCTGGAATCTTTTGGGCTTCTCACTGTTTCCCTCATGTTCTGAGATTTGTCTGGGTGTCTGGGTCTCTCGTCATCCATTGTACCAGGTGTACCAAGTGGCCTTTTCCGTGACAAGTTCATTTTCTCAGTAACAGAAGTTTTCTTGTGTGTTTTCTAATTTCCCTACTTTCTAATCTTTTCTCAATTTGGAAGATTTCTTTGTTATCTTACAACTTTTGGAATGTGTTTAATTTATTATACTTTTTATTTTTAAAATACCTCACATTTTTCTAGTTAGTTGTAGGATTTTGGAGGAGTTGTTTAGGGGTTTGTTGTTGCTGCTCTTATTCTTATGTGACAGGGTCTATGTGTAGCCCAGATTGGTTTCAAACTCATAATTCTCCTGTCTCAGTCTCCTGGATGCTAGGATTATAGACATACCCCATCACAAGTCTTGGGGTTTGAGGTTGATTGGTTGATTGGCTGGTTTCTTGTATGGATGGATGGTTGATTGGTTGGCTGACTGACTGACTGGTTAGTTTGAGTAGCTGTTGTTTGTGGCTATAGGGATCTAACTTAGCGTTGGGTAAGATTT